GACAGAATAGTGTCCGAATGCATTGAAGGTGCCCACAGAGTGGTGTTTTTACAACCTGCTTGTATACAGTAACTCGACACCATACAGAATGATAACAAGTTCCCTTGTGAATGGACTATTTTGACCAACCGGAAAGTCGAGAATCCCGTACTGACTGGTGTAGTAGAAAGAGGATGATTTCTAGAGTAGCGCATAATTTCAAAACCAGACTTAGCCCATTAACAATGTCCGTTGTCTTCTCTTCCGTTGATGTAAGCCGATCCCTAACATGTTCTAATCCTCACCAGACCATATCCGGTCTTCAGTGGCTACTCTGAGTCTAGCTTTTAACCGGTTACCTTTTGTCATGGCCTAAATTACCCAATTTCTGCGCACACTTTATTGCATGGTTAGAGAAGTAAAGCAGTCTGTGTTGGGTTTTAAGGTATCCTCTGTGCACATTAGACATTATCAGTATATAAGGAACTAACTTCTGGTAATTAGTTGCACACTCATATACTTGTTCTGTTCGACTGAAATTAGTCTTCATTTTACAATGGCTACGCAAGTTACCAACAGCAAAGTCGTTAGGGTAAATCAACTGTCCAGTTTATGCATCATTTTCCCCGGTGGTTATCGGATACGTACGTATTATCATAATTATGTTTTGCTCTCTGGTGCTTTCTAGTGCGTGCGAATGATTTCCCTCTGAGCGGATAAGCAGAATATAGGTAAAGTGGCAATATGTGATGTGGGATAGCGTTCACATGATCAGTACATGGCTTTAGCAATTCAAGAAGAGTATCCGACCACCCGAGCTGGTTACGTTTGCAAACTTGCGTCGTCGAATAGGACCGCGGATGATGATGATGATGATGATGATGATGATGATGATGATGTCATTGGTCGCATTTCCTAGCGACATATTTGAAAGTCTGGCTGATTCTGGCCTCCGCATACTTCTGTTGAGGCAAGCTGTGGAGCACCATTGCTACAAACATTGCAATAAAATAATCTTGTTCACATGAATGATCGTCATTTACCCAGCGACATAATTGTTGCACCACCAACCCCTAGAATACATTCATCGGAATCGTACACCCCGCACCTAATGGTTAATCCGATTGGTTCATCAATCGACTAACCATGCCATGCGCTTAACTCATTAGTAGCCCTACTCGATTTATTGACAACGCATTGTTTTTCTTTCCTCAGACTGCGGTAATTTCACTCATTAAATTCCATCAATTAACTAAAGTGAATAAGATTTCATTAGTTTTCCCATGTTACACGAGGTTTCACATAGAATAAAAGTTTCCTATCAGCGAATCTATTATAGTCATGTGCCTTCGCATCTTCTTGTTAGTTGCATCGCTTGCATCGAAGCGTTCTACTCAAACACCGTTTCCACGAGAAGATAAAGACTTTGGATGACCAGTACATCCGTTTACTAGTCGATTTAGCGGTACTAAATCCACGAGGAGATGCACTACTTTTGTCGCTTTTAGAAATTATTGACTTTTCCGCCATATTATCCTTAAAAATAATGGATACTTCAGGGAAATTTTGTATTCCGGCTTTTCACTTTGTAGATGACCAAAAAAGGTGATGGTCATGCGTACGGTAGCCGAAGTACTCTGGGAAAATAAGAGGAAGGCCATCTGACGAGAAAATACTATTCTCTTGCTCTTTTTAGTCAGAACCCTTTGGGTAGACTGTTTTGATTATAAAGTCAATTTTTATTTTGGGCATTTACCTATGTGAGTTCGTGTATTTTTATATACAAGGTAGAAATTAAGGCGATTGATTCAGTGAGGTTAAATGGAAAAGAACATCAATGTCTGTCAAGTGCTATAGGGGCGCATGGAGAAACATGGGCAATTCTGGAAAGTTCCGATGAAATTTTTGTCACGTGCACCGTGTCACGTCATTTTGTACCATATATGTTGGATCGGGACTGAAGCAACCGGGCACCAGACTGACAACGTTGCATTTGAAGTCATCTACAAAGTGCCCCACAACAGGTCGGAGTACGTTCAGCAACGTCATTTGGCCACAGCAGTAGCAGTAGCTATCATAATACTTAACCCACCATTATGCAAATAGATTGTCATACTCCGGTCGCCTTGACCCCGGCTCAAGCTACGAGACGAACCGAAACATTACCTGAATCATGTCATGATGACGCAACATCGCAAGTGAAAAAATGTCATCGGAAAGTTCCTGCATTGATCTTGGTTCCCCTTCCCGTTTTCTCTATATGCTCCTACAGAAATTGACATATACTTTCTTTCTCAATTAACCCTAATGAACCAATCACGTTTATTTCTACATTACATATACATAAACATAAAACTGTAATGCCTGAAGACGAAGTTACGAAGTTGAGCTTGTTTTCTATATTGCTTGTCTTTTGAAATTCATATGGGAACCTTCCATGAATTTTTATTGAAATGCGGATATGCTGAATCTCCCTTTTGTATATGGGATATCCGAAAGGAAGTTTATCAATATTTTCGTACGTTTCATGCTAATTTGTTTCACTTCTGTATGAATATAATTACTTAAATTCCGGTGGTTTTGGTTTTGAACTTCCGTTCTTACAGTAAGTGTAAAGTTTACTATGTGCCAAAAATTCTATGTAGTAGTACAAGTTATGGGTCAAACTGTCGAAAACCGATGAACACTATCAGTTGTAAATTTGAGAACCGAATTCCGTTAGATGGTGAAACTTCTGTTCCGCTTAGAGAACTAAACGCATTTAAATCCTTTTGTCACTAGTGAGTTATTGTAGGCACAACAAAACTTTATTTTGGAATGAAACGTTTTTCCGCTTGGTTTTCTAAAAACAATTCTATTAAAATACAGGAGGTTGCAGAGTAAACTGGGATATATTTGGTTTTCTAGGTTCACCGGGCTCCGAAACTGTGATCAGATGTGACGATCTATTTTGACAGCGACGAATAAATAATTCACTCAACAAATTACTATGCACTCCGATCAATAGACGCGAAGAGCTCGCTCAGATTAAAAAAAAATTGTCAAGCTTCTTCACTCAGTAGCACATCCTATCTTCGGAAGGCAATCACTTTGTGGTAATTTCAAGACGTCAAATCGCTCCCACAGTTGGACTGACTGTGCATAAAAACAACATTCATCTGTTAGAATGAAACAAACCAATCTCATCTAAATTCATGACAATTGAGTGTGCCATATGGTGAGTAGGTTATTCATTTTGAACCGGACAAATGCTTTCCAATCGCCAGTTTCTTTCTATAAAAATACGGATTGGGTAGGTTTTCAATCTCACATTAGCATTACACATCTCTGTGTCTAAAAATAGCACATTCGGAATATTTGGACAAAGGGACAGAATCTGATCTCATTCAATTACTCTTACTCCGCCTCCGCCCTCACAGGCGTGGTTCACTCCAGTCCACATAGCCGTGAGCCGCTCATACAAGCGAGTTAAATTCATCTACCAGTTAAGGCTATCGACTAATCCTTTCCCCCAACCTACTCAATGAATACTTTTTGTGATTTACCAAGTGTTGACTTATGTTGCCATGCTTTTTAACAGAAGTAGAAGCTGCTTACTGATCTCGAGACATGAGTTGTAATACCCGGGTGATGTGACGTGATTTATGTCATTGCTATCCATTCGAAAAGCTAAAGACATAGACAATATGTGTTCGTCAGAACATTTGCCCGACTTACCAACGTTCACTGTACACTTAGGCGCATCCATGAAAATTTTCTTTGTCCACTACTGCACTACCAAGACATCCCCTATCATCGCAGGTCTTTAGATTTATTTCGGGTTAAATGACGCAACCAAATTATCACCATAAAGGACGTGTTTCTGAGTCCGAACACCGTCTGATCTTCCCCGTTGGTTCGCCGCTTCCGCCTTCTTGAAAATTGTATGGATTATCTGTTCAATAAAACGAAGTAGAACGAAAATAGAAAAAGAAAATACACTGTACGACCGTATTAAGAGAGTCTATCGTCTTCATCCAGTTGCCCAAGTTCAGCGAAAGCTCAGATGACCAGGATCGGCTGTTCTTCGGAAAAGGCCAGAAAAGGCCACAGCTGTGTATGTACTTTTCGTAACCAGGGTATTGGTTCGTTCACAATGAACACTGTGACCTTCTGACCGTCATTTGTCATCTGGGGATTGGTGTCTAACCGTATTCCAGCCCCTATTCTACAATTCCCTCCTCAGCATATCTGAACACGATCACTTGCCATCTTAGAGCTGAGTATTTTCGTATAAGGAGAAACACGCACAGACATACCGCAAAAGAGCAATCTTCACAAAACATTGTCACCCCTTCCGAATCAGTACCGTTCACAATCATGCGTAAATCCAAAACAAAATTGTTTATGATAATCTGGTTCAAACGAAAATAATATAATGCTATTTCAAATGGGAATTCGTCGTGTATATAGCAAATAGAGCGTGAACTGAAAAGCTCGGAAGCAATAGACAGCTGTTTCGACCTGGTTGGGTTTCTCTATTTACCAGGTTATACTATCCACAGCTTTGACAATTCACTGGACACCAAATGGTTTACGGTTTATAAACAAAGGTCACACGTACTAGGTACTGCAATTGTGGTGCTGATTTCTGAGTAATGGCTTCTTTGGAACTGCATTATTACACCTGTATGTTTTGATCCAATAAAAAGAAAATTGTGGCTTTACTTCCACTTTTTGCTCGAAGGATTTGAATATTTTTCGCTTAAGGGCAAATCAAACGATAGTTGGTTTTTCANATGGTATGCGTGATCAGTTATGTTGGTGCTCTAAACTATGATTTTAGTCTACTACGTGGAGCAGACTGCAATGCTTTCATCAGTTTTGTCGTAGTACTTGTTTGGCTGCACATAGACTGGCCTCCTTGAAACATTACAAAGCGTACGATCCAGGTGTAGGTCATGAACTAAAACACAAACCAATGATTTACTTCTTCTTTCGCTGCTTCTCTTTTTATCACAGACGTTGATCTCAGTGCAAACGAATTTCCGTTAAATCGGGGACAAATGCCTGACCTGGATGATGAAGACAGTATCGTTTCCAATCTCACATGCATTGGGGTTGTCGGTATCGAAGACCCTGTACGCCCCGAGGTCCCTGCTGCGATTCGCAAATGTCAACGTGCTGGAATCACTGTACGCATGGTGACAGGTGATAACATCAACACGGCACGTTCCATTGCATCCAAATGCGGTATTCTGCGGCCTGGTGATAACTATATCGTACTCGAAGGGAAGGAGTTTAATCGTCGGGTTCGTGATCCTCAAACCAACCGAGTTCGTCAGGATCTCATTGACCAAGTTTGGCCGCAGCTTCGCGTACTGGCTAGATCTTCTCCTCAAGATAAATATACCTTAGTCAGTGGTATCATCGACAGCCACATATCCTCCAGGCGGGAAGTGGTTGCTGTCACTGGAGATGGTACAAATGATGGACCGGCTTTGAAGAAGGCCGATGTTGGTTTCGCAATGGGCATTGCCGGTACAGATGTGGCTAAAGAAGCCTCTGATATCATTCTCACTGACGACAATTTCACTAGCATTGTCAAAGCAGTCATGTGGGGTCGGAACGTCTACGATTCAATTTCGAAATTTTTGCAATTCCAGCTGACAGTCAACATGGTGGCAATCATTGTGGCGTTTGTCGGTGCATGTTTTATCACAGTACGTCATGTCACTTGATCATGTATTTTTAGCACGTTCTCTGTTTGGACTACCTTTAACAGCCGGTACTTTCCACGCATTGCGTAGCTTGCTTCTATAGGTGAAACCTAATATCAGTGACTGAAAAATTATTAGGTAAAATTACGTTATTAATTATAAATATATTCATCATAATTATAGGTTATATTTCATACTTTCTTCGCGGCCTTGGATTGACTTTTTTCCCCAAAGACAGAGCTAATTATGATGGTTAACGGTGAATCAGAACCCCTTTGACTTTTCTATGAGGAATTTGACCACATGTCATTTAAAACATTGCTGGTAAACTCGACGAGCTATAGATCTTGATTTTAACACTGAATTATCATTTGTCTCCCAGAACATGACAGAAATTGTCCAAATTGAAAATTCTAGTCCGTAAATCTGCTGTGTGGAATTTCACTGTCATTCACTATTGCTACTTTGAAAAGTCATTTCAGCAGCGGGTATCCAACTATGGAGGGGATTAGTCCGGTTATATCTTCCTATTTAATACAAAGAACCAAAATACGGCTTTGGAAAGAATTAAAAATAATACACATCGTTTATTGAACTACAAGGTTCAGTTCCCAATAGCCAGATTTACAGTCATCGTCCGGGGGCATTTTCTTCTCGCTTTTCAACGGGCTCTCGTTTGTAATGATTTCCAAGTTCCCCAATGTAAATGATTGATGGAGGACGTTCCTGTCCTGTCAGTGATTCACCCACCCAGCATAATCTAATCGTGGCCTGGATGACAAGTAAGGATGAAGAAGGCGAGAGGAAAGATCACTTTCGTGTATTACAGTTTAAGAAGCTTCTGGTATGCACCACCATTGCCCCTCCCCTCACCCTCACGCAATCTACCTCCGGACTCTGACCACCACAACCAAGTTTCATCTTGTCGTGTCAAACCCACATAGGACTAAATAGACACGCAATACTTGCATAACAATTCTGTACCCTGTGAGGGTTCATTCACACGATCGCGTGCGTAAGTACACACACACACGAACTTTCATCGATTTCGCTTGGGGCTGGAAATGGACAGAAAACACCGGGATCTTTGAAATATGGCTAACTGAATGATTTTTCACTCGACGAGAGTGATTGTGATTGTTAGTTAAAACGAATACCACAATCGCATGCTATGCGCACGAGTGAATGAGCTACGCCAGCTTATTTGTGTATTGTGTTTACGACAATGCAAGTTCGGTTAAATGCTTGAATTGTGGTCAACGTTTTCGCTTACTTCCATGCGATGCGGTCCTGCCTTAACTAATATTGTTGATTCCACGGTCCGATTAAAGTGATTTTACTCTTCCCATCTCTTCTCACCTTCAAACGATAGGCAATGTGCTAAAGCTGCTTAGGTGTTGCACCACACGGCCTGTGACGATATCTTATAGTAGGCAACCTTAGGCTTTGCAATTAAGTCGTACCTATTTCTCCTGAGTATAACGTTTCAGTAATCAGCAATAGGAAGATGAATAGAATATCGATGTTTTGGTGTAAATGCAAATCCTTCCTCTCATCCGGCATATTGCAATTGTGTATAATTTCCGTACGTGTCGACCAAAAGGGTAGTAAAACCAACATAGAAACAACATTACTTGAATCGGGACCCCTACGCTCATCGTGTTCCGAACATCTCATGTTACAGCCTCCATCCACCCAGGAGAGATGTCGGAACACATGGAACCTGGTTGCCCTTCGCACAGGGATAGGAAATAATTTAGCTGTTTTTCGATACTTCTTTAGAATGTGCACATACACGGTGATCGATTTGTTATATACGTTTTATACGTGTTATATATATTATTATAAGTAGTATGTGAGTGACTGGACAAAATTTCCCTGGAAGCGTATATATATATATATATATATATATATATATATAGGTAGATCAGGACCGGGCTAGCCAAAATGATCATTCATTTTGTGTTGTTGATCAAACGCATTCATAAATAAGGTAAACTCTGAAAATAGGGCAATCAGGTTTAAAAATAATATTTCTCCTCACCATTGCTATGTTGTAGCCTTCCGGAATCCAGTGAACCTATGGTCACTTCTATTTTGCCTGACCACTCTGGGAATGAGAAGATACATATTGATGCAAGTATCGTAATTCGAAAGACAATCCCTAGGTACATAAGGATACCCTGTCCTAATCAAATGATTTTGTTCAATTACAATTGGTGTTATGGGAGTTCCGCTTATGATGAGTCAGTTACAAGTTCTTCTCTTCGTACTAGCTATAGATGATATTCCATATTGTAATGCCTGAGAAATACTATAGGAATAGTTTGTACCTATAAAAACACTGCGATTGTGGTATACCGTATAAAAGTACTCTAGTTATCTGACTCTGCAGCAGTCAGGCGATAACTCAGCGCTCGATCAAATTGGGTAATAATGTGTGGTTCCATGCTCACCCGCTGGGTGGGCCAGGTTTCATCTGACGGTAATCTGCGGTTATATGGAAGGAATCCTGGTACGTCTCAAGACAGGAACAATAAATAAGGTGCAGGACTTCCTCTTAGGAGATATACTTTGTTCAATTTTAACCAACTGAACTACAAAAAAGTTGACCTTAATTGAAAAAAAGTTGTTCAAATGGTTAATAATAATTTGCACAAGGTTACATGATAAATCATGCGACTGTTCAAACCCGAATGAAGCTCCTTTTTATCGTAAAGAAATAGCAGTCTCAATCGGTGTTTGATTGACTCCATTTGTCTCCAAAATTGAGTTTTCCAAATAAATGTAAGAAATAATAATCTGTTATGAAAATTATAAACAGAGTGCGGTTTTCAGTAATGCACTGCTTGAAAAAAATACAACTGTAATCGGACGACGATACAGTGCACCTACAGTCGCCACTGGTCCCGATTACTTCTTAATTAAGCCCCTGTGTATCAATCAGTGGTACATTTATTCCGGCCCGTTGTCTCACTAACCTGTACCCAGAGCAATCTGTCTGTGATTAAATAAGTGCCGTCGCATCATGTACTCGTTCAGCTTTGTGACTTTCGCCAAATAAACCACTTGTTTGTTTCGTTGAGTAGATCCACCTCTCTTCATGTCACTGTCTAATTCGTTTTATAGGACAGTCCACTGAAAGCTGTGCAAATGCTTTGGGTTAATTTGATCATGGACACCCTGGCATCACTGGCCCTAGCCACGGAACTACCCACGGAAGAACTTCTCGAACGCGCTCCGTATGGTCGAACAAAACCAATCATCAGCCGTAGTATGATCAAAAATATTGTCGGTCAATCGTTGTATCAATTGGCTGTGATCTTCTACCTGGTGTGGTATGGTAAGTACTTCACTTGGCGGACGATAGCTCCTATGCACTACCTGTTTTTCATATTTATCCGTACCGGAGTACAAGATAATACGATTGGTTTGCCGTCAGCGTTCATTTTGAACAGATTTGCGATATAAATCTCTTCACCCGTATTCATTATTGCCTTCTAAAAATCATTATATCTTCATCCCCAAATGAACTTACTCTTCACAGTGCACGAATGTACAATACATTGATCCAAGATGATAAATTAACTTGGTTCCTTTTAAAACTTCAAGTTTAACCTGTTTCTCAGGAGAACTGGTTGTGCCAAAAACAATTTAGTCATAGTCTTTGTGTAACCCTCATTCCATATTCATGGGATATCGAGGAATACGATTTTTTTTAATTTTCAGGCAGATTAACCTTCTCTCCGGCCATTTCGTGTGAGCCTTCAACTTGGGTGCGCATGTAATATTTCCGGCATAGTCTGGGGACATGTAGCATTCATCACACAACGAAAGTTTAAAAGCTGTATCTGCACCCTTAACATGCTCAACGTTCAAAATTTTATTTACTGGCGAATCTGCATTTTGTAATATTTGTTTTCGTTTAACTCACAGACGAAATTTTCCACAGAACTTCGTAATTGTTTCCTTAGTTGAACAAATGTAATTTATGGTTTTAACCGGTTCTGTTGATTCGATAGTCGCAATTAGGGAAATAGAGCTAGAAATTCACCTCACCCAGGTGTACAAAGTCCATCCTGACTTGAACTTTACTTGATTTTAGGGCAAAAATGGATTTTTCGTACTCCTTTTTAGCCATTCATTGACCAGATAGGGAGAGATTTCCCACCATATAGCACACTTTTAAAACGCACGCAACTGAAAACGCTCAGTGTACTTGATTTCGATTCTTAGAAGATGAAACGGCAAAACCTGATTAATGAGTGAAACAAACGGTTCATTCCTTTGTCTGCCACTAAACTGGAAACTTTATAGGGTTTCTTCACACGTGTTCAAGTAATCTGAAAACAGCTCAATACTTATGAGACAATTCTAGGGGCAAATAACGATCTTAATCGAACAACAAAATGTACGACTTTATCATAAATCCAGTTTGGTGTTCAGCTTGTTTCATTCATCAATCTGTTGTGATTCCGGTTTGCTTTAGGATTGTTTTTCTGTCTGTCTCCTCGTCTCGGGAATTCTTATTGATAGATGTCTTTCATCTAATTTCTTTAAGCGTGTCATAATGAATGGATTGGAAACGTCCTATTCGACTACAGATTAAAAGATAATTAAAAAAAAGAAACTGTTCAACAGGCACATTTTTTCACTAAGCATTTATCATTATCATTTCAAGTTATTTTAGTTTCTAATGGAAATTCCCCTCTTATTTAATCAATTTGGAGTGTTTGACTATTTAATTGTCTACCGCGGTAATCAATGAACTGATTCTGAACCAAAATTTGAGAAGAATCCACATTCTGATAATTAGATGAACGAGAGTTATTTATGGAGACTGCAGTGTACCAGCTGTGTGCTTTAACATCAAATCAGTCGGAAACGTCCCCATTGATTCACTTATCGGAAAACATTGTAGTAACTAGATCTCTAGGTGATTCTAAATTACACACATGGATGTTGTATTTTAGCTATCTCAAGCTCTCATTTTATGCTTCATGGGTTTCACTGGTTTACACACATTAATTTTCTTTATTCACGCACTACAGATAGCTCGTTTGCTTTGTTGTATTATTTATGATAACATGTAGTTTTCGACTTAAATGTGGACAAGCGTCCTCGCATAAGTTTATGCGAATAGAAATACAAATACCTCCTCTATTCTGGCTTTCTCGCCGGTCCAGTATTGCATCGCAATCTGCACATTCATCTTCTTTTTATGAATCTTCATTTGGAGCACTGGGTGAACTGTGCATTTTATTTCACAGAATGTTCTTACCATAGTTCGCTGAGGACTTCTCCGTCCCTGCTTCTATCGCAGTCAAATATTTGTGATCCTCGCAACACAGTCTTGCCGGATCCAAGAAACCTTCAACAAGACTTAAAAATATTCGTTTCGAGCATTGTGCGAATGGTTTCTGTACCGCGTAATTTAATTTCCTGCTCGTTTTTCCTCTTTATCTCGCTAGTCACAATTAATGCCATGATTAATTCCTAATTTGTAGATGAGTTAGAGCAAACACCTTATAGTAGGCAAACAATTTCGTTCTAATTTTATCACATTTTTATGCTACCCCAAGGTAATACTTTTACCTCATATCATTTCATCAGCAGCAGCCGCATATTGATTTTGCTGTCCTTTTCCTGTCAGTCATTGGGGGTACGGTGTAGTGGTTTCCACTCTTTGTTTTTTGTTTTGTTTTCAACGACTCAGTCAGTAACCTTACTTCTCTGAGCTCCCATACTGGACTCCTTCAACCTCCNTCAACCTCCCTCTTCTCTACACACACCTTTATTTCTGTTCAGAATGAGAATGGTAAACGTGCTTGTCAAATTCCGTTCAGTTCAGGCTAGCCCATTTTTACCTCAGCAAATATGTTATCCGTGCTATGCATCTGTCGGGCATGAAGCGATAGCGGAGCCCTTCAATCTCTCAGTTTAATGCAGTTCTGCCCTCATTGAATTTTCACTCGTATTTTTTCTCATTGGATGGTATGCTGCAACCATCCAGAGTCAACTTATCGGACGAGCCTTTCATTATGGAACCAGTACTGTTCCACCCAAAGGCGAGGGTAGGAAGGAGGAGTCAGTTTCCGGTTCATTGAAGCGCAGAATGATAGCGACGATGGAGTCTCTTTCGACTGATAGAATATCACGCATTTTCACACTTAGATAAATTAATTCCAGACGATTAAAATATTTTTGATTTTAAATAGTGAACTTATGTCGATATTCTTATTTGACAATAATTTGCTGTTTCATTTACTGTACAATTGTTCATGGTTTTTCTCTGATTTCACACCTCTATTTGAATGCAAGATCACATTCCCCATTTTGAAATATTTCTTAAATCATGGTAATACTTTCCGTTTGCCTAAAAAGCAAAATATTCGACCCTCTCACTTCTTCCCACTTCGAATGCCAACTTTTTGGTAACCAACTACCTCACAACTTGACAAGAAATTTATGCTTCATTTCAGTTTGAAATCACGCTACTGAACCAATCCAGTAAACCGTGCATAGGAATTGCATTCACCCGTGACAAATTTAATTCGACCATCGGAAACCGTAATAATAGGTCTGTGCGAATATTTATATGGACGTAAATTCATTCCACTTGCCTGCCTCGGTGGTCAATAAATCTCGGTGTAACAATAAAAGACTTCTTGTTCTGGATCCGATGCCTGATCAAGCTATCGAATAAAAGTGTGGAGGAGGTGAATAGGAAAATCCCGATTGCAATTGACTTGGAGATTCGTCTACGAATAGCTCCCCTGGGGAATGAGGTTTGGTCAGACAAAATCAAATGTACTCTCGAGCTCTTCTTAGATCGCTCGCCCCGTCCTTTCTTTCTCTCCTGCGCGGGCGATTTGATGATCATTCAAAACGGGTCAGCTTGACGTATCTCCAAGCAGCTTGGCTGCAGTTTATCGAATTGTACGTGTGTGTGTGTGTGACAACATAATCAAATTTCCTTCCATATTGCTTATAAATCTTTGTAAATGCAAACTCGTTGTAGCACGTTGCTCTTTGAGTACAAGGCAGCAGGTATGTGCGCTCACACCGGAGTTTTTTAAGCTCCTCTGATTCATGGTTGCATCACATGAGCACGTCGTGACTTCAGTGTTGAGACAAAAACTAAAAATCGAGAACTTTCTGTTTGATCGAAAAACCCTGTCGGAGAGTTAACTCCTTTCCAATAGTGCTATTCGATTTAACGAGGCACAAATAGCATATATCAAATGAAAATATCCCCAGATCGAGGAATTCAATCCACTGCACTCTCCATTGGTGCTCAACTGCCTTGTCATTTTTCAGTTGTCCTTTGTATAGAAATTCACAAGGGTCATGCACACAACCGCACGATAGCGGATGCTACAACACCGAAGCAATAAAACCTGTTGACACACACAGGATTGAATGTTGCGAATAACTATGGATAGGCTTAGACAGGAAGTTCTTTTCCATTTTCTAAGGGTTATCAACCATACTTTCCGGAAGTCAAGCAACTGCAGCTGAAGGTTTGGTTCAAAATGTAATAAGTGTGGTAGCTAATTTTTTGCTTAGTGAGTGCATCTTTGTATTCTATCGGCTAGCCGGTGACAAAGGTAAAGCATAGATTGTTTTGATTGATTGTGTGTGAAAAAATTTGCTTCCACCTAAGTTCAGTATTCGAAGCTCACAGTTAGTCTGCTATCAGATTGTGTCTAAGCCCTTCTTGTTTATATTTTATGGCAGACAATTGATTGACCGGTTCCCCGATTTCCTCCAAATTAACTGCACAGTGGGCTAAGAAATATGAGTTAGCAACTAGTTGTTATTGTTAAATTTTTATTTATTAAATAATAGGGTGAAAAATGAAAGCGCCGATCGCCTAAACGAGTCAGAATAGTTCTTTCAGACAGTCCGCTTCAAAGCATTGAATCGATTAATATTTGGTAGGATATTTTAAATGAGATGACTATTCAATGTATTATCATTAAAAAGCAGAGAATCAACTTAACCTACAGTTGGAAACTTTAAACACAGTGACCAAGTTTCGTGAACACTGCTGTTTGGGAAGTTGATTTACGGATCTTTTCTATCTTTCAACTTTTTTCTCCTTCGATGCAATATTCTTCCTCATTTTTATCTAATCTCTATTCAAACAGGCAAAATATGCTCTCCTTTTTTTTCTTTGTCGGAATCAGTTTCTTGAAGTTCATCGTTATGTACTTCTGCCAACCTGATAATTGATTGCGCTTTACTTACATGAGCGCGGTGGGGGGGGGAGACTATAAAGCAAATAAGTCGTTTGAGGGTTGGACCGTGAATTAAGCGCTTCCACATACAGCTTGGAGCTTTATGCAACCTGGCATTTTGTTATACGGGAACTGACTAATCAATCGTATCTTATATGCCGATCATCGTTCCGGGGGCACTCTATCTGTATGAATCCACAAGTCCAGTGCCAAAATGGACAATCGTTTATTGCGTAGATGAAATACTTGAGAAACCAAGGGCTGTTTTAATGTTCGCGCACAAAAATACTGCTCACATACAATACGTGTAATACCTATCTACAACATAACAAATACTCTTTTAAGATGGGAAATTATTCCCCAGTGAGTAGTCATGAGAACAAAAGTTAGTGAACAAGCTTGTTTTCGGTACTACATCAAGTGGCTATCTAACCCATTATAAATTGTGCAGTATTTAGCCAGCTGGTTTAGCACCGAAAACTAGCTTGTTTGCTTGCCTGTGTTCGCATTTTCTAAGAATATATGCGCACAATTCGATAATATCTCCTTCAAATTCTAGTTTATTTTCTATACTAATTTAAACCTGCATCTAATAATCAGTGCAAATAACACTTAAACTAAATATTGGTTAGTGCATACATTGGTCTTCAGATACATTGATCAAAAGAGATTTGTCTGATTGCAAAATTCTTTTCACTTTCTTATATAAAGAGTGTTTATGAATAACTGCATATTGTCAGAAAATTTCCTGATTAGTTAGCAATACAAAACAAATTTCTGTACTCGGAATAACTTTTACGCACAATTGCCCAATCTCCAGTCGACTTATATTTTAATTCATTGATTGATTTTCTTGTCGCATCATACAGGAGAGCGTCTGTTGGATGTGGAAAGCGGTCGAGGTCTGAGCGAGAAGGGCATCAACCGACCGACGGAGCACTTTACAGCTATTTTCAATGCTTTCGTCATGATGACTCTGTTCAACGAGATCAATGCGCGCAAAATACACGGCCAGAGAAATATTTTCTCCGGCTTGTTGAACAATATCCTGTTTGTGATCATCTGGTTGACTACATTCATTTTCCAGGTAAAACTTTTGAACAAGTCATGCTAGACTGTTTAATAATTATTTTCTTCTCTCACTCAAGGGTTCCTTCAGACTATTACATTGTATTCTTTCCTTTCCCTAATTGGAAGTAAACAGATATATTTGGACCTCAAATTGGTTGCACTAATTCACTTATACTGAAATAGTTAACAGTCTTTTCTTGATTGAATCCCGTAGATCAGAAGCCATGTCACTCTTTGTAGTTGTCGATCAATCCGCGTGTGTTAAGAATACACGCGGCACACGGTATCACATAGTTTCAGTTGTGAGAACCAGCTACCAACTCGGTTTTTCTCATCTTAGTAGAACAAGCTGCCTCTGTAATGATTGGTGTCTGACAGTTGATAATTAAATCTCCAACCGTTTTGGTTTCTTTTGAATAAAATGCACTCAATGTATATTGCCACACAATCCTTTAGACCGGCGATCTGCAGAGACTTTGAAACAGCGTCTAATCGGAATGCGTTGTTGAGGTGTACCGAAATCGTTGATTCGGTCCTCTTTTATATCTGCCTAAAACATATGCATTGTGATGGATTGCATCGGATCCTTGATGATGCTTAATTTTTGAATTTGATTGATCACTAACCCTAAGCTTGTTTGTCTTTGGGCTAGCTCTCAGGTCGATCCGTGAGGAAGTAAATGAGCTTCCGCAATCGGTTGGGGATTGGCGTCTTGTAGATAAGCTATAACGAGAGAGAATCAGACACGAAGAAAGTGAATGAGTATGTAATCACCTCATGTTNCATTGTTTATGCCAGCCACCGCATCACATTTTCCAATAGTTAGGATCTTCACATCTTCAAAACAAGTCTTAATCTGATTGTGCTGGATCTTTTAAACCACTTCGTGCCTGAACAAACACGTCATTTCGAGGAGGTTCATCTTTCGATTGGAATGAGGAGTTAATAATTTGCGACACCCAATATTCGATAAAAATCGTCCACACTGGCATTCTTTGATCACCGAAAGCGTCCTATGAGACGAATTTCGGGATTTCTGGTTCAAAATGTATTGTTGCAGATCAAGTGGTTTGCTGTGAATTAAACTTCCAGGCTTTGTTTATTCCTCCAGTGGAGGCTTTTGGAGCTGATGCACTTTTTTCTCTGATGCCATATTTGAAGCTGCATAAATTGTGCCAACTTTTTTACGGAACAGTTTCTGCACGCGTTGAAGTGTGTTCTGTCATCAGTGAAACCTTACGCAGCTCAGGCAACCGTCTGTCACTTTATTTTTTCCCGACCGTTCATACACCCCACTCATTTGTTTTGCGTTTATTGTTAAGAGTCAGTCATTATCATGATTATTTGGTCAAGTTGCAAGTTTTCTGCAATTTCTTATCCAGACAACTAAGCCCCGGTTCATCTAATCCCATGTCCTGTTGGACTGCATTTCTGACCAGATATTCGTTCGAGATGATGATGGTACCTGTTGTACCTGATGTGCAATTATCAGTCTCATCCGATCTCGCGTTTTATTATTTCTTTCACAGGTGATTATTATTCAATTCGGTGGCTATGCATTCAGCACTTCCCCTCTGGCTATTGAACACTGGCTCTGGTGTTTGTTCTTCGGAATCGGATCACTTGTCTGGGGACAGGTATGTTCCTTGCTCAATGTAGTCACTGTTTTGTTACTAAACTATTTTTTTATTCACTTTGTATTTATTCCAACATATGCATGCTTTCACATCATTGAAGAATTCAAAGATATCTGGCCCACCGTACACTAGTGAAAACCACGTTAGAATATATATTGTTAGAAGAGAGTTCGATGCCTTTACATTTTTTTCAGCATTCGTCATCTAGCATTTCGCTATCAGTAGGTCGGTTGATGAATCCGCACTGCTGATGAGACTCAAACAGGCAGAATAGCTGTCCAATATTTCCAAGCTTTTCAGTTCACCCTTCAATAGCACTTTAGACGACGAAATTCATTATAATACTGGTTGGATAATTTGTTGGTTGATAGTAAAAGAAAAACCAAGAGTCCAAGTCAACTACATGCATCTTTTCGGAAGTCTATCTACACTGTCACTTAGGATATACAATAGACAGTAAAAATACTGCAGAACTTTGAATTAAAAAGCATTCCAAATTTTCTTCTGGTCCATGCCACGTTGCTTGAGGAAATAGACCTTTCTGTTATGATCAGGCAAGGAATGCGATCGTTTGGCACTCCGCGAACATACCATCCTTACCAGGTCTGACCGAATTCGATTGCCACATACTCAACTGGCTGTTCGGTCTGCCACGAAGTAATGTGCGCTCACGATTGTTGTTTCTCGCGATTTC